CATAAAATACATATATATATGTAATTACATACAAACTGTACATTCATACATAAATGAATACATACATACATACATGCTTACATACATACATGCATACATACATATACATACATACATACTTACATACATGCATAATATGTACATACATACCATATATACATATACATATATATATACATACATACGTACATATATATATGTATACGTATATGAATACATGCGTACATATGTGCGTGTATACTGTAGATACATACATAAATGAATGACATGCTTACATACATACATAAATACAAATTATACCCACACATGTACACACAAAATCTCACATGTGTACACGTATATGAACAGTATTGTTATTATTGCTATTTCAGTTTTAATTTCGTAATTATGAAAAAATAACTTGAGTAAAAAAAATATATATATTTATTATCAAAATCATAATGCATGTGTGATTTTATTTTCCATTGGCTATGATTATTTTTTAAATCAGATTTAGAGTTGACCTTTCTGGACCTTGAATGACCTTGTTTGCCCTCATTCCTGACCATTATTATTCTCTTGTATACAGTTTTGACTTTGCTGACCCCTCTCGACCTTTCCCTTATACTCTCGGTTTATTGCCGCCTTCCCTCTTTCCAAATTCCGTTGACTTCTCTTCCTCTCTCCTTTCCCTCTTTTTCTTTTTCCCGTTTTTCTATCACCTCTTTCACCGTCCCCATCTCGTCTCTCCTGTCTTTTTATCACTGTCTTCTCTCTGTCCCTGTCTGTCTGTCTGTCTGTCTCTCTCTCTCTCTCTCTCTCTCTCTCTCTCGTCTCTCTCTCTCTCTCTCTCTCTCTCTCTCTCTCTCTCTCTCTCTCTCTCTCTCTCTCTCTCTCTCTCTCTCTCTTTTTTTCTCTTTCTCTCTTTCTCTCTCTCTTTCTCTCTTCTCTTTCTCTCATTCTTTCTCTCTCTCTATCCTCTCTCCCCTCTTTCTCTCATCCTCTCCTCTCTCTCCCTCTCCTCCTTCTCCTCCTCCTCTCCTCTCTCCTCTCTCTTCCCTCTTTCTCTCATCCTCTCCTCTCTCACCTTCCTCTCTTCCTCCTCCCTCCTTCCCTCTCTCTCCTCTTTCTCTCATCCTCTCCTCTCTCACCTTCCTCTCTTCCTCCCTCCCTCCTTCCCCTCTCTCTCCCCTCTTTCTCTCATCCTCTCCCTCCTTCCTCCTTTCTCCCCCCTCCTCCCTCTCTCTCCCTCTTTCTCTCATCCTCTCCCCTCTTTCTCTCATCCTCTCCCCTCTTTCCTCCCCTCTTTCCCCCTCTCTCCCTCTTTCTCTCATCCCCTCCCTCTTCCTTCCCCCTCCCTCTCCCTCTCTCTCCCCTCTTTCTCTCATCCCCTCCCCTCTTCCTCCCCGACAGGCCGTGGACACGATCTGCGAGCGGATGCAGGACTTCACGGACTCCGCCTACACTTCTCACGAACACCGGGAAAACATCCTTCTTCTCACGGACAGAATACGACTCGAACTCAACCAGCTGCTGCGAGTCGGGGTCAATCTGGTGAGTAAGAGGAAGTGGGTTTGTTGTGTCGGGGTCAATCTGGTGAGTAAGAGGAAGGGAGGGTGTTGTGTGGGGTTGAGGGTGAGGGAAAGGAGGGGGCAAGGGAGTAGGTAATGAGGGTGAGTGGGGACTGAGGTTGAGTCAATCTGGTGAGTAAAAGGGAGGGAGTTTGTTGTGTCGGGGTTCAGGGTGAGGTGAGTCGGGGTCAATCTGGTGAGTAAGAGGAAGGGGTTGGTGTCGGGGTTCAGGGTGAGGGAAAGGAGGGTCAATCTGGTGAGTAGAGGGAGAGAGTTTGTTGTGTCGGGGTTGAGGGTGAGGGAAAGGAGGGGGCAAGGGAGTAGGTAATGAGGGTTGAGTGGGGATTGAGGATGAGTCAATCTGGTGAGTAAAAGGGAAGGAGTTTGTTGTGTCGGGGTTGAGGGTGAGGTGAGTCGGGGTCAATCTGGTGAGTAAGAGGAAGGGGGTTTGTTGTGTCGGGGTTGAGGGTGAGGGAGGAGGTCAATTTGGTGAGTAAAAGGGAGAGAGTTTGTTGTGTCGGGGTTGAGGGTGAGGTGAGTCGGGGTCAATTTGGTGAGTAAGAGGAAGGGAGTTTGTTGTGTCGGGGTTGAGGGTGAGGTGAGTCGGGGTCAATCTGGTGAGTAAAAGGGAGAGAGTTTGTTGTGTCGGGGTTGGTGAGGTCAGGCGGGGTCAATCTGGTGAGTAAAAGGGAGAGAGTTTGTTGTGTCGGGGTTGAGGGAGTAAGAGAGTAGGTAATGAGAATGAGTGAGTTTGGTGTATGGGGAGTGCGGGTGAGGAAATGGAGTGGGGGTTGAGGATGAGTTTTAAGGGAGAGGGGGTCAATCTGGTGAGTAAAAGGAAGGGAGGTTGTTGTGTCGGGGTTGAGGGCGAGGGAAAGGAGTGGGGATTGAGAATGAGTCAAGGGAGTGGGGGTCAGTTTGGTGAGACAAGGGGGTAGGGAATGAAGGTGAGTGAGTTAGGTGTGTCGCGATTGCGGGTGAGTAAAGGAAGTGGGGATTGAGGATGAGTGAGAGGAATGAGTCAGATGTGTTGTGATTGCGTTTGAGTAGAGTGGTGAGTCAAGGAAGTGGGGATTGAGGATGAGTGAGGGGAGTGAGTTAGATATGCGGAGATTGAGGGTGAGTCAAAGGAGTGGTGAGTCAGCTTGGTGAGTCAGATGAGTAAGGCCGAAGAGTGAGGAGAATGAGTCAGGTCTCAGGTGATTGTTAAGGAGCGGTGAGTCACTTAGCTAGGTTTGCGAAGTGAGTAAACGATAAAGTAACGAGTAATGTAATAAACTTTGAGACGGAGGAAGGAGGGAAAAGGGAGAAGGAGAAGGAGAAGAGAGAAGGTCAAAGAAGGGAGAAAGGAGGAGGAAGGGGAAGGGAGAGGTTGCGGAGAGGGGGTGAAGAGGGGGGAGGAGAGAAGAAGGAGAGGGAGAGGGAGGAGGAGAGGAAATGGAGAAGATAAAGATATTAAAGATAAAGTAATGAGTAATGGAATAAACTTTGAGACGGAGGAAGGAGGAAGAGAGGAAAAGCGAGGGGAGGAGGAGGAGAGAGGTCAAGGAAAGGGAGAAGGAGAGGAAGGGAAAAGGGAGAGGTTGCGGGAGGGGGTGAAGAGGGGGGAGGAGAGAAGAAGGAGAGGGAGAGGGAGGAGAGGAAATGGAGAAGATAAAGATATTAAAGATATAGTAATGAGTAATGGAATAAACTTTGAGACGGAGGAAGGAGGAAGAGAGGAAAAGCGAGGAGGAGGAGGAGAGAAGGTCAAGGAAAGGGAGAAGGAGGAGGAAGGGAAAAGGGAGAGGTTGCGGAGAGGGGGTGAAGAGGGAACAGGAGAGAAGAAGGAGAGGGAGAGGGAGGAGGAGAGGAAATGGAGAAGATAAAGATATTAAAGATAAAGTAATGAGTAATGTAATAAACTTTGAGACGGAAGGAGTGGGTTGAGATTAAGAGAAGATAGAACAAGAGAAGAAAGAAAGAAAGATGAGGAAGAGATATCAAAATTGGAAAGAAGATGGAGGAGGAGCGAGAAGAAAAAAAAATCAAACTGAAGAGTAGATAGGAAGGAAGAGAAGAGATTTGGAGAAGGAAGTGAAAAGGAAACGAAGGAAGAGAATAGGTTTAGAGAAGGAAGAGAAGAGGAAGCGAAGGAAGAAAAAAAGGGAAGAGAAGAAAGAGAAAAGGAAACGAAGAAAGAAAAGAAGGTTAGAGAAGGAAGAAAAAAAGAAGCGAAGGAAGGAAAGAGAAGAAAGAGAAAAGGAAGCATAGGAAGAAAGAAAAGGAAGAGAAGGAAAAAAAAGAGAAGAAGTGAAGAAAGAGAAAAGGAAGCATAGTAAGAAAGAAGAGGAAGAAAGGGAAAAACAGGAGAGACAGAAAAGGAAGAGAAAAGAAAGCGTAGGAAGAAAGGAGAGGAAGAGAAGGGAGAGAAGAGAGGAGGAAGAGGAGGAGGAGAAGGAAATAAGGGCCGCTGGATCTCGAGTTAATGGTGTATATTCGCAGAGACGATGTAATTGAGCTGTTCATTTTGCGCGGGTCGGGGGGCCACGGGGGGGGAGTCAGGGAAAGGGAGAAGGAGGAGGAGAGGAAAGGGGATGGGTGAAGAAGGGAGGAGGAAAGGGAAGAGGGGGGTGAAGAGGGAGGAGGAGAGGAAAAGGATGGGGTGAAGAGGGAGGAGGAAAGGGGAGAGGGAGAGGGAGAGAAATTCAGGGAAAGGGAGAAGGAGGAGGAGAGGAAAAGGGATGGGTGAAGAGGGAGGAGGAAAGGAAAAGGGATGGGTAGGGAGAGGAGAGAGGAAGGAAGAGGGGGGTGGAGGAGAGGAAAAGGGAGGGGATGGGTGAAGAGGAGGAGGAAAGGAAGAGAGGGGTGAAGAGGGAGGAGGAGAAAGGGATGGGTGAAGAGGGAGGAGGAAAGGAAAGAGAGGGGTGAAGAGGGAGGAGGAGAGGAAAGGGGATGGGTGAAGAGGGAGGAGGAAAGGAAAGAGAGGGGTGAAGAGGAGGAGAGAAAGGGAGGGGAGAGGGAGGAGGAAAGGAGAGGGGGGTGAGAGGGAGGAGGAAAAGGGAGAGGGAGATGGGAGAAAGTAGGGAAGGAGAAGGAGGAGGAGAGGAAAAGGGATGGGTGAAGAGGGAGAGGAAAGGAAGAGGGAGGGGTGAAGAGGAGAGGAAAGGGAGAGTGAGATGGAGAGAAATTTAGGGAAAGGGAGAAGGAGGAGGAGAGGAAAAGGGATGGGTGAAGAGGGAGGAGGAAAGGAAAGAGGGGGGTGAAGAGGGAGGAGGAAAAGGGAGAGGGAGATGGAGAGGAAGTCAGGGAAAGGGAGAAGGAGGAGGAGAGGAAAAGGGATGGGTGAAGAGGGAGGAGGAAAGGAAAGAGGGGGGTGAAGAGGGAGGAGGAAAAGGAGAGGAGATGGAGAGAAAGTAGGGAAAGGGAGAAGAGGAGGAGAGGAAAAGGGATGGGTGAAGAGGGAGGAGAAGGAAAGGGGGTGAAGAGGGAGGAGGAAAAGGGAGAGGGAGATGGAGAGGAGTCAGGGAAAGGGAGAAGGAGGAGGAGAGGAAAGGGATGGGTGAAGAGGGAGGAGGAAAGGGAAAGAGGGGGTGAAGAGGGAGGAGGAAAAGGGAGAGGGAGATGGAGAGAAAGTCAGGGAAAGGGAGAAGGAGGAGGAGAGGAAAAGGGATGGGTGAAGAGGGAGGAGGAAGGAAGAGGGAGGTGAAAGAGGGAGGAGGAAAAGGGAGAGGGAGATGGAGAGGAAGTCAGGGAAAGGGAGAAGGAGGAGGAGAGGAAAAGGGATGGGTGAAGAGGGAGAGGAAAGGAAGTGGGGGTAAAGAGGGAGGAGGAAAAGGGAGAGGGAGAGAAATTTAGGGAAAGGGAGAAGGAGGAGAGGAAAAGGGAGGGGATGGAGAGGGAAAAGGAGAGAGAGTTAAAGAAAGGGAGAAGGAGGAGGAGAGGAAAAGGGAGGGGGTGGAGAGGGAGGAAGAGAGAAAGTTAAGTTAAGGAAAGGGAGAAGGAGGAGGAGAGACAGTTAGAGAAATGGGGAGAGGAAAAGGGAGAGGGAGGAGGAGATAAAGTTAAGAAAGGGAGAAGGAGGAAGAGAGAAAGAGGAGAAGAGGAGGAGAGAAGGTCAAGGAAGGGAGGAGGAAAGGGAAAGGGAGAGGTTGCGGGGAGGGGGTGAAGAGGGAGGAGGAGAGAAGAAGGAAAGAGAAAGGCAGGAAGAGAGGAAATGGAGAAGACGAAAAGGGAGAGAGAGGAGGACAGGGAAAGGGAGAAGGAGGAGGATAGGGGAGGAAAAAGGGTGAGGCAGAAGGAGAGGAAAAGAGACAGAGAGGAGGAGAGAAAGAAAGGGAAAGAGTGAGGGAAGAGGAAAGAAAAATAAATGGAGGAAGAGGAAGAGGAAAATAAATGGAGGATTAAAGGAAGAAAGGAAAAGAAAGGACAATAAATTAGACGACTGGAGGAAGACAGGGAAGGGGAAAGGGCACAGAGAAGAGAGAAAAAAGGAGAATGGAAAATGCGAGAGAGAAGAGGAAAATAAAGAGGGAGGAGGGAAGAAGGAGAAGAAAAGGGGGAGAGGAGATAAGAAAGGAGGAGATAAGAAAGAGGGAGTTAAAAGGGAAAAATATAGGGAGAAGGAGAGGAAAGGGGAGGAGAAGAAATGACAGAGAGAGAGGAGAGAGAGAGAGAGAGAGAGAGAAAGAGAAAAAGAGTGGGGAGAGGGGGAGTGGGGGGGGGGGATGAGTATGACATCACCCATCCCGGTTAATTAATTCACATTCAACTAGATCCAGGTTGTAATCCCGGGCAGATTTACCCGGGATTACGTAATAAAGAGGTGTTCGTTAGGGCGACAAATGCCCAGGTTAGATGTGTATGAATGCTGACAATTAAAGGCTGACAATTCAATGCTGACAATTAATTCGGTTTACGGAAACGGGGCGATTTCTCGGCGATTTCTGGCTTTCTGGCTCTTCGTCTTCGGTCTCGGAGGAGAGGGGGAGGAGGGAGGGAGGG